ATAATAAGTTATGACGACGACATTCCCATTGTCTTTGTGCAAATTAATTCTAAGTGTAAAATAACTCTGGGGATTTCATGGAATTTTGAGACTCAACTTATTTTTGGATTAGATCTTACAAAAGTACAGAGTAGTGCGCAGAACCGCGCTATTCAACTTCTTCAAAACAACGAGATTTCTAACAGTTCCAGTTTTAACTTCCGAACCGGGGCATGACTGTAGACTCGTCTCCTAGTCTCCTCGTCTGTAGAGTCGTCTCATAGTCAATGACAACTCACGTTCTAGTTTTACCGGATCGCGTCTATATTAATATAATTATTATTGGGACCTAGTGGATGTTACCAATTTACGTGTATAATATCGAACTGCAAAACACTTTAACCAACGTCCTGGAATTATGTATCTACGACTGACACACATGCCCACATCAGGCATAAACACAACCTATTACCAATTTAGTAGAATGAAGCCAAGATAAGCTTGCATGCCATTAATCTAAGTTCAAGTTAGGTGGTCTGTTGTACCTGGAGTACTCCTGTGAATCCTTGACTGTTATCCTGGTGTCATTATTGTGTTAATTTTTTCTCGATTATTCTGTTTCAGTGATTACGTTGTATTATTGAAGTAAAATTTACCATTTTGCTTTGGCTAGTGTACGTTATCTCTCCTCATAAATTCGACTACATCAGCTTCGATTAATTAATTGGATGGGAACATTTCACGGTCGCGTTCGAGACATCTCGTACCCTGGGCCACTTGGTCCATCCCTCCATCCATCGCAGTCAACTTGTCACCTTGCCGCCATTAGCTTTTTTGTCTTGTTAAAGTTACCCTATTTACTTTTTGTAACTGTTTCGTTATTTCCGGGATATAACATCCATTATTTTACACTTCTGAATGCTAGCAAGCAAGATAGCCATGTGAAAACATCAGCAATTTTTATAGATTGTTCAAGATCCTTACTGCGTTTGATTTGTTAAAATCAATTTGTCTTATGTTATTATTATTAATATTATTAGTATTATTTAGTATTATTTAGCTGAAAAAGCTAAAAGATCTTTGCATTTGAGTAGCTTGTACAGTGTGGAAAAGAAAAAACTTGTGTGAATGATGATAGTCTTTATACTCTACTGTAGCCGGGTTTAACATGAAGCAATAAACAACGCACGCGATGTTGTCAAATGGCGATAGATTCGCTTGAAGATGCTCGTATTTTTGAATGAATTGTAAGTTTCGCGATTGTTTGTTAACCTCACAGGACTAGTTAGCGTATGGTGGCAATTTAACGTAGCCATTTAAGCGTGTACGTTCATAATCTGTATGTTTTGTTTTTCATTGTTTATTTTGAACGATTTTTCTACTACGCCGCATGGCCACGCCTATTCTGCTCTCTTGCCTCGGATATATGTCGGTGCTAGTGAACGAAAAAGACATTCGTCCCACTCCGATGTTGATTCGAGGAAGTGATTTCGTCCAACTGAGCTTATACGTTACTATATATATATATATATATATATATATATATATATATATATATATATATATATAGCAGCTACAAAGCTGCATAAATACATTTTACTCATTGAGTATAATTATATCATGTGAATGTGTTAATTAGGAAA